GAAATTTAAGGAGTTACAAGAATATGAATTTTCTAGTACTTACTTCACATGGCTTGTCTGTTCTCTTGAAACATTATCTAAGATGTTAAAAGTAATTTAATCACATTTATGCTGATCTACATATCTAACAGCAAGAACAGACCAAGAACAGAATCCTGTTCATGAAAAGGATCTTAGCAATAAGATCTTACTAATAATTTAGTTTGATCTTTTCTTAAGGAATAAGAACTCATTATATATCTCTTTTATATTATGAAGTATTTTAAAATTCATTTTATAAATTTTAATAATTTTTCAAGGAGGCAAGCATATGACAAATATTTTTATATTCAGTTTGTAGGTGGGGAAACTTATAAATAGTAAAAGTAAGCACAGTTTAAACTATTTGCTAAGAAAAAATAATTAAAACTAGTCTAAAGACTACATGCATTATCCCAATTCTCACAGATAGGTGTTATTTTCTCCATTTACAAAAGAGGAAACTTGAGAACAGAGAGGTTATATAATTTCCCACAAGTTACACAGCTAGTGCACAGCAGAATCAAATTCAGGCTGGCTGATTCCAGAGCTTGCATTTTTTTATCTCTATATTATATTCTTCCTATTACTTAAAAATAACAATTTTCTTAATTATCCATAAATATATACTGACACAAATAAATGATTGAATAAATAAATGGGAGAGAAGGGTCACCTCGTCTTTATAAAAGATTCCAACTAATAAATGAAGAAAATAATTGCAGGCAAAAACCATCAAAACAGCTAAAATTCGCAGGTGAAAATATGATGAGAAACAGGATATTTTCATAGCCTCAACACATCTCTCCACATGACATATACTAATTATAAGGAGAAAAATAGTAGGTTTACAGTGGAGAAACCTAGCAGACACCATCTAAACCAAGTGACCAAAGTTAACATCACCAATAATAACATATATCAACATTATATACCTCATAATATTGAGCAGGGTACATAATTTCTGTGATATTCCAACCAAAAATGCACAAACTCAATGTAATAATTAGAAGACACTGGGCCAGGAGAGGTGGCTCATGTCTGTAATCCTAGCACTTTGGATGGCCCAAGCAGAAGAATTGATTGAGGCCAAGAGTTTGAGAACAGCCTGAGGGAGAGCAAGACCCATCTCTACAAAAAACAGAAAAATTATCCTGGTGTGGTGGCATGCACCTGTAGTCCTAGCTTCTTGGGAGGCTGAGGCAGAAGGATCCCTTGACTCCAGGAACTGGAGGTTACAGTAAGCTATGATGATGCCACTGCACTCTACCCAGGGCAACAGAGTGAGACTCTGTCTCAAAAAAAAAAAAGAGTTAAAAGGCATGTCTATCATTTGATTTCTCACAATTAAAGCTGATATTTATTGAGCATTTACTATGTGCCAGGTGCTATGTAAAATACTTTTCTACACATTATTTCATTTAATTCTCACAATTTCATGAGGTAGGTTATATTATTACCATCTATAAGATAAGGAAATGGTTAGAAAGGTTAAGAACGTTACACAAAGACTGATTGTATGGCACAAGCAATACTGACATTCTTTCTCCAAATATTTTTTCAATTGCTATCAAGTGAGAAATCTAATTAACTTCAGTCCCATTGAATTTCATCTTTACTACCCTTCTATCCAGGACTTGAGAAGTGTCAACATGAAGCAATAAGGATTATGGTAAATAGAGAATTAATAATCTAAGATAATTAAGAGTTGGCCATATTGTTATTATAATTATACTGAGTCTTATTTGTCCATCCTTTTATATTAAAACTTTGAGTTCTGATGGGGGAATAAATACATGAGAAGTTAAGCCCCAGTGCTGCTGGTCTGTGTGTCCTGAGGGAGGGTCTTAGCTGCCTGCTGCTGCCCGAAGAGCCCCTAGGGCCATAGTAAGCCTTAATCATGTCTTTCATCTTCGAGTGGATCTACAATGGCTTCAGCAGTGTGCTCCAATTCCTAGGACTCTACAAGAAATCTGGAAAACTCATATTCTTGGGTTTGGACAATGCAGGCAAAACCACTTTTCTTCACACGCTCAAAGATGACAGATTGGGCCAACACGTTCCAACACTACATCCGAGTAGATTTGAAAATACCAGCATCAGAAGGGCTGACAATTGCTGGAATGACTTTTACAACTTTTGATCTTGGTGGCCATGAGCAAGCACGATGGGTTTGGAAAAATTATCTCCCAGCAATCAATGGGATTGTCTTTCTGGTGGACTGTGCTGATCATCCTCGCCTCATGGAATCCAAAGTTGAGCTTAATGCTTTAATGACTGATGAAATAATACCCAATGTGCCAATCCTTGTCATGGGTAACAAAACTGACAGAACAGATGCAATCAGTGAGAAAAACTCCGTGGGATATTTGGGCTTTATGGACACACCCCAGGAAAGGGGAATGTGACCCTGAAGGAGCTGAATGCCCGCCCCACGGAAGTGCTCATGTGCAGTGTGCTCAAGGGACACGGCTACGGTTCTGCTGGCTCTCCCAGTACATTTACTGATGTTTGGACAGTAAAAATAAAAGAGCTTTTCTTCTCTGCACTGATCTTATTAATAGCTTACTCATGAACGTTTCTAATAGAACAAGGAAAGCTCTCCAACCAAGTCTGGCATTGAGAAGCCAAGAGTCTTTGTCAACTCTCTCATCACCCAGCAGTGACATGTGCTCTTCTCCATACTGTTGGGAGGTAACGCTGCCCCACATGCTGATGCAGGTCAGGATTCCTGGACTTGGAAACTGGCAGAATTTGCCGGGTAGAACTGTGTGCCATCATGGGGGGCACCTGAAAAAAAAAACACATCTTAACCACTGTGGTTGATTTCAAAGAAAGTGATTCTATTTTTTAAAGAAAGTGTTTTTAATGTAATTGATATCCCTCTTAATTTTTGAGTTCACAATTTACTTGGTCCAGAGATTTCTATTCTTTTTTTTTTTTAACTAATGAGTGGTATTTAGATACTTCATAAATTTATGAACAGATACACAGTGGAGGCCAGTGGTTCAGGTAGGTGAACTTAAATCCTGCTGAGTTAGCAGGTAGGGGAGAGAAGCTCCCCTGAGCTCACTTATCTCTATGACTGCCTTTTGATCTTGGTGGGCATGAGCAAGCACGATGGGTTTGGAAAAATTATCTCCCAGCAATCAATGGGATTGTCTTTCTGGTAGACTGTGCTGATCATTCTTGCCTCATGGAATCCAAAGTGGAGCTTAATGCTTTAATGACTGATGAAACAAGAGCCAATGTGCCAATCCTTGTAGTAGGTGATGTCACCTTGTGCAAAGAGAACTAGAAAAGGGGCAGAAGCCTGGCCTTGCAGTTGCAGGTTTCCACTGTGGTAAGCTCATCACAGAATGTGTAGTAGATTGTTCACTGTGGAGGGGTTACTTACAGAGAGAGTTATTATTATTTTTACTTATAAATTTCAGCCAGTCTTTGCTTTTATACTGTTGTGAAATTTCATTCTCTATAGCACCTTCTTTTTTCATTTTGAGTTATAAAAAGTGACTTTCACCTCATGAAAGAGTTGAGACCATCTCTCATGTTGTCACATACTGCAGGTGTGTCTCAGTTACTTTTGCACAGATTCTAGGGGGAAATTTTTCAGAATAGGAGGACAAAGGACAAAGTTAACTGCCTAAGGGCTCTTAATTCTGTGAGTTGAGGACTTAAAATCAGTTATCATAGCACTTGTTTAAATTTAGGAAAGATTTACTCAGTGGGTAAATTTTAAAAGCTTTAAAATTTCCACTTGCACCTAGCTCTTGGGAGGCCGAGGCGGGCGGATTGCTCAAGGTCAGGAGTTCAAAACCAGCCTGAGCAAGAGCAAGACCCCGTCTCTACTATAAATAGAAAGAAATTAATTGGCCAACTGATATATATATAAAAAATTAGCCGGGCATGGTGGCGCATGCCTGTAGCCCCAGCTACTCGGGAGGCTGAGGCAGAAGGATCGCTCGAGCCCAGGAGTTTGAGGTTGCTGTGAGCTAGGCTGACGCCACGGCACTCACTCTAGGGCAACAGAGTGAGTCTCTGTCTTCAAAAAAAAAAAAAAAAAATTTCCACTTGCAGAATCTAGTCTTGATTTGGCTGTTCATGAACTTTTTCTTAAATCTTTTCTCCTTGTCAGTTATCTGTTTCATTCATTGGTGTTTAAAGTAAAAGTTAACATCTATAGCTTTTCTAGATTTTTTTTTGGGGGGGGGATATAAAATTTCCTTTCTCCATTTTAGAAATAAGTTGGAAAAAACATTAACTCAAAAACTGCCTGTAGAACTGTTCCTTTGGAGGTAGCATCATTTATTGTCAGTGAACACCCAGTGTGAAAGCATCAGCATCTCCACTAGGGTGATGAAGATTTTTATACCATTCCATTTTCTTAGTGCCATGTGTGAAATTGGATTTTCATGATCTTAATCTATAGTCTACCCTTGTAGTAAAAGATGAGAAGATAGGAGATGGTCTTAACATGAGAGGATATCTTTATTCCTCTTTCCTTTAATAAAAGATTAGAGGTAGTTTCCTCAAAATCGAAAATTGAAATGATGCTTATTTGTGGAGGATTGAACTAAATTCAGTGGATTCCTTTTTAAATGTGAGGTAGGGAAACTGTGGATAACATTACTGGGGTGAGAGAGTGTCATTCTTTAGTTGGATTTCTCATTCTTAGTCTTCAGTACTGACCTGTTGGGAAAGCATAGTTTTTCACTGCCAGGTCCTGAATGCAGAGGATCAATGACATATATGTCTGGGAAATGCATGCATTTCATTTAGCAGCAAGCATAGCTGGATTAAGACAAAATTATTGGTTTGGAAAGGTGTTAAAACCTCAAGTGAACAAATCTAGCTAACCGTGAATGAACTAGGTAGTTAACTTGCATACCTTTTAATTTCCTCTGCTTAAAGGTTACTCATACTTCTCTGTTCAGAGACATGAGAAGTATGATTGCTTCGGTGTTTGTTTTCTTACTTTTGTCTTTTCCCCTGTTTTTCCCTAATCTCTTTGTTGCAAGCTAGAAAACTATGGGTTCTACATAGGGCAGGTTTTGTGAAAGTGGTTTGTTCCACTGGAGAAAGAGGGGATTAAAAAATCAATTAGCATCAGTCTATTTCTTGTCCCACAGAACACCATTCTTATAAGATAGCTGAAAGAAGCTGCTGTGAGGAACTTAGCTCCAAACACAAGATCAGAGCCTCGTATGGGAACTCCCATGAGTTGAGACTTTTCATTCTGTTTTCTCAGAGTACATATATGTCCTATTTCAGGAAGAGTAAAACAGTCTTTACAAAGAAAGTCAATCTGTATTCTAACCATTTTAATAAAAATTTAAAACAGAAAAAAAATGAGCAGTTAAACCTCTCAACAGTATTATATATACTATTAGGAAGAAGTTAAAGGACATGTAATTATTTGGACAATCATTCCTATTTAATTTATACACATCCTTATAAGCCTAAATAAAATGTACAAATGTAACTACTTCATTTTTTAACATCCTATTTTCTAAAAGCACTGATTTCTTGGACCCTGTGAAAACAATTTTTCAAGTAACTGCAATGGAAGCTTTTATAGTTAATGTAATTATTCATATTTGAAGGATGTCATGATTTTTTAAATTTTATGTCTTTATTATTGAAAATATTTATTACAGTTTATTTACACCCTAAATAAAAGATAAGAAAGGCACGTCATATTGCCTCTGTCTCTTGCCTACAACAAAATAATTAACTCTGAGTTTATCCCTGATGAGTCACAAAGCAAGAGTTTGGGACTTTATCACTGGTTTTAGTCCTATTTTTAGAGGTATAGGGATACAAAAGTTCTTAATTTGGAGACATTTAAAATGGTTTGCGTGGTTATCTTCAGGAAGTAAGTACACTGTCAAACTTCAGGACCATCACAGCACTCTTTAAATATATAATAATTATTTTGTTCAAAATGTTCATGGTCCATATCATATAAGTCAATGTATAAAATAACACTGCCACTGACATCAGTGGAATTTTATGGGAAATAGAATGAGTTAGTAAGCCTTTTTAAGTAGGCATTTTCCTCTTCTCTCAAAAATTTATGTGTCCAAGTACAAAAAATCAAAAGGATACAAATTCTTTCTATTACTTACAGATTGACTATTGTCTTAAAAAGCACAAATTTCGTGGACAGGCCTTTTTCTCCTCCTTGCTCTTTCTAAAAAATGCAGAAAATAGAAAAAAACTTACACTGAAGTCCAAATTATAGACAAGAAAAAGAAAAACCAAATGACTAGGAGATTGGAGGTGAATTTTCAAATATCAGTAATTTATAGAATTTGCAAGTTTTACTTTTCATTAACATTATTTCGATGTTTTCTATAGTATATGAACGTTTTAAATTGATTAGAATTTTCACATAACATTAGATTTTTTTCTTATTTGTATTCCATTTAAAGATTCACATCTTCACTTTAATATATAACTTTAGAATTTTCTTTCAAAACATATCTAAAAAGTAGTAAAATGCCTACCGAGAACTTTTATTTACTTGATAAAAAAATTGAAAAAGAGAGAAAAATAAATACATTCTTCACAATTTCAGAGGTGACAAAAGTCTCTGATATTTCAAGTGGCTTTTAATCCCCCTTAAAGAATTTAAAAATTAGGCCGGGCGTGGTGGCTCACGCTTGTAACCCTAGCACTCTGGGAAGCCGAGGCGGGCAGATTGCTCAAGGTCAGAAGTTCAAAACCAGCCTGAGCGAGACCCCGTCTCTACTATAAAAAATAGAAAGAAATTAATTGGCCATTAATTAATATATATTATATATATATGTAAAAATTAGCCGGGCATGGTGGCACGTGCCTGTAGTCCCAGCTACTCGGGAGGCTGAGGCAGCAGGATTGCTTAAGAGCTAGGCTGACGCCACGGCACTCACTCTAGCCTGGGCAACAAAGTGAGACTCTGTCTCAAAAAAAAAAAAAAAAAGAAAAGAAAAGAATTTAAAAATTGCATAATGCCTGTAATCCTAGCACTCTGGGAGGCCAAGGCCGGTGGATCGTTTGAGCTCAGGAGTTAGAGACTCAGCCTGAGCAACAGCGAGACTCCGTGACTTTGTGACTCATCAGGGATAAACTCAGAGTTAATTATTTTGTCGTAGGCAAGAGACAGAGGCAATATGACGTGCCTTTCTTATCTTTTATTTAGGGTGTAAATAAACTGTAATAAATATTTTCAATAATAAAGACATAAAATTTAAAAAATCATGACATCCTTCAAATATGAATAATTACATTAACTATAAAAGCTTCCATTGCAGTTACTTGAAAAATTGTTTTCACAGGGTCCAAGAAATCAGTGCTTTTAGAAAACCCCAAATAGAAAAAATTAGCCAGGCATGGTGGCGCATGCCTGTAGTCCCAGCTACTCTGGAGGCTGAAACAGAAGGATTGCTTGAGCTCAGAAGTTTGAGGTTGCTGTGAGCTAGGGTGATGCCACAGCACTCTAGCCAGGGCAACAAAAAAAAAAAAAAAAAAAAGCATATAATGTTGCATAATCTTAGCTAGATTGATGTTAAAGTGCATAATCTTAGCCACATTAATGTAAAGATGCTATCAGTCTATTTCAATTATATACTTCTTACAATATAATGAAAGAATCTATTTGGTAAGTCTTAATCTATTGATTAAACTGACCCCAGAAATGCTGGTCATCATTTTCGTGGAAACATCTGCAAGCATTTATGGTCACTGATTTCTTGCAGTTGCTTCTTGTTTTCATCCTGATTTTATAATTCCCCAAAGTAAAGGTGCAGAAAACACCTATCCTCCTTTTCGAGAAATGACTCGATAGAGAGAAAACCTGTGCGGTGTAAACGCCAAATACAGACATCTGGAAGTTGATGGCTTCACGATTAATTTTGTTGCTTAATTTCGCTGTTCATTAAGTAAAAACTTGTTTTCCGTTAAAATCCCCGCGCTAGTTTGTTTTTGCGCCGCTGAGTATGCGCCCCCTACCCATTTTGGACTCTGTAAACTCGGTTTTTCCCCTCAGTTTCAGCGTCGCGGGTAAACCGTGCCCTGCGCCAGCTGGAGCCCGCGAAGTCCAATTGCCCAGGGAGTCGAACAGGTGGTCCGGGGGCAGCGAGCCCCTGTGGTCGACCCCAGCTCCAGCCCTCCTGGGGAATCTGAGGCCTCTCCCGAATCATCCCTAAAAGGTGTCCCCTTTCTTCATTCATTCAACAAATATTTGTTCAATTTCAGATGCTCCTCTGTCTTCGGAAAACCAATTCAGAACTCACTTTGCAGCCTCAACACCGGGGCAATGTCCCTGCCTTATTAAAGACCCAATGAGGCCGGGAAGACAAATCTCGACCACAGTTTAGCAAATACCGCGTGTGATTTACTAAATGCCATCCCTTTGAGTCCCGAGTGGCCGGGAGCATTATGCCACTTCCCTTCCCTTCCTCCCTCACTGCCAACCCTAGAGAGCTCTAATGGCAAACAGTGACCATAGCCAAGCTGTCCTTCTTGCCTCCGAGCAAGCCTCATGCCAAATTCCTCATTCCGCGAGGCGCCTCCCTCTTTTCCAAGCCAGCAGGAGAGGCTTTAGGCCGCGGCCGGGCCTCCAGGACCAAAGGCAGAAAAGGGTCTGAGAGTCCAGGCCTCCAGAGACTCCAGTCGGAAGGTTGATCGAGAATCGCAGTGTTTAAGCCAGATTTTTCTGTACTGAGGGAGGTTTGGCCCAGGGTAACCCGCAGCGGAACTACAACTCCCAGCACCCCAGCACAGTGGCTGCCCGGACTCCCGGAAGTCGGAGGCCAGCCGGGAGGAAGCAGCTGAGACCCCTCCAACAGGCGGGGGTTAATTTATCAAGAAAAAGGGGGCGGGAAGGGCTGTAGGGCATCTGTCAGTTCGCCACCATGAACGTGGTTTTTGCTGTGAAGCAGTACATTTCTAAAATGATAGAGGACAGCGGGCCCGGCATGAAAGTACTTCTCATGGATAAAGAGACGGTGAGTTTGCTTTTGCTCGGTATTTGTTTGTGAAGGAACCCTTCTTCCCTTACAATAGCTGGTTCCATTCCACTGTAAGGTTTAGTATTTAAAGTATTTATTTAGATTTTTAAATAAGGGTCAGTTCTGTGTGGATCTGAAAAGTTGTATATTAAGTCAGTTGCAATTAAAAAGAAAAAAAGTTGTATAAAGCTTGCCCATTATGCTTTCCGTCTAAATGGTTCTAACCACTGCCCAGAGACTTAATGTACTCAGAACAATTTATTGGAATTGAATCCTTTTCTAAATAGCCTCTGCCAAGAAATCATTAATATATGAGACGGAGCACTTGGAAGACTTAGGGATAGGCCTGTTATTTCCATTCAACGTTGTGTTTTTTAAGTAAAACTGTTGATGCTTAAACTGAAATGACAGGTCATGTGTTGGTCACAGATCTAAAACAAAAAATTTAAAAAATATATTTTTGGAAATTTATAGATTGTTCTTGTTCAGAGAGGATGTTTTTAATTCTGGTACATTACCTACTTGTTTTGGACGTTTAGTGAATGTTTTTCCATATGTTAGTATTTAGGTTATCCAGGTAAGTATTAATAAAGGCTTAGATATTGCTGCTTGTTTTTATTATTCTGGAATAGCATAATCTTATTTAATTCTTTTTTTTTTCAGACTGGCATAGTGAGTATGGTATACACACAATCGGAGATTCTTCAGAAGGAAGTGTACCTCTTTGAACGCATTGATTCTCAAAATCGAGAGACCATGAAACACCTGAAGGCAATTTGTTTTCTTCGCCCTACGAAGGTACGGCACAAACTGAGCTGCCACCTACCCAGGCAAATGCGGAACACTGATCTGAAAGCATTATGAAGGCAAAATAAATCTGTATTATCATTTGTGGCATCATAGTTATTCTGGTATGTCAGTGTTATAACCTTCATTCTTCTTTCCGTATCTCAGTTCACCCCTTACAGCAGTTCTTCCTTCAAGATGTCTTTTAGGTTCATAGCTATTCCCAAAGCCACTAATGAACTACTCTTAACAGAGATCCACATCACTTTATTACTGAATTAACCTCCATACCTGTCACACTGAACACCATTGCCACTTAATCTTATATATAGCTATCAGCATTTTCAATCATTTTATTCACATCTATGTTCAGGAATCTATAGTGGCTCAATTTTACTTCCATAATTAAATCTATATTTAGTCCAGCAGTCAAAGTCTTCCTTTAGCTGGTTTGGTCTGCCCTTATGTATCCAACTTTCCTGTATCCCAGCTCTGCTCTTCCACTATGTCCAAATAGGCCTTTTTGTCTTCCTTCTACATGCTCATTCCTGTCCTTTATTTGTTTGTTCTCTTCCCCTAATTTCTTTTTTTTCTTTCTTTCTTTCTTTTTTTTTTTAATTTCAGAATATTATAGAAGTACAAACGGTTACATAAATTGCTTTTGTACAGTTTGAGTCAAAGTTAGAAGTGTGCCCATCACCTAGTAGTGTGCATTGTACCTGTTAGGTGTGAATTCATCCATTTCCTCCTCCCCCTTCCTGCCTATTTGATTTCCATTAAGTTTTACTTCCATATGTGCACATAAGTGTTGATCAGTTAGTTCCAATTTAATAGTGAGTACGTGTGGTATTTGTTTTTCCATTCTTGTGATACTTCACTGAGAAGAATGGTCTCCAGTTCCATCCAGGTTGTTACAAAAAATATTAGTTCACCATTTTTTATGGCTGAGTAGTATTCCATGGTATACATATACCACATTTTATTAATCCACTCATGTATTGGTGGCACTTCTTCCCCTAATTTCTTTAGTCATTTGTCCATTTTGTCCATCACCTTCTAAATCTTGAGTTAAAAATCCTTTCCTGTTTCACTCTTATATATGTATACTCTCTTGCTTCATATTCATTTTCTTCAATTCCAGTGCATTTTTACCATGCTGGTACATTATATGTTTTCTAAAGTGCAAATCTGATCATGTCATGCCTGCTTGAAATCCTTGAATGACTTCTTATTGCTTTTATGGTAAAGACAATACTCCTTAATTGCAGCCTGAAAGGTCCAGTGTGGTCTAGTTCCTACCATTTCTTCAGTCTCATTTCAAACCATTCCCCCTTTTGCATTCTGCACCTTAGCGGTACTAATCTTTTGGTCTGCTACTTTCCCCTTGTTCTATCATGCCACAAAACCTTTGCATAGGCTCCTCCCTCTGCCTGGAACTTCTTCACTTCCTTAAGCTAACCTTCCGTGGTTTTGCTGACCAGGTCAAACCTACTCTTATACATGCTCACAGCACCATTTTTTACCCTTAATGCTCGTCATGATTGAAGATGTAGGTAGTTTGTGTGATTATTATTTATCTCACCTACCAGCAGTAACCTCCATGAGAACAGAAATGGTATCTCTTTTTTCTCACTCTTATATTCCCAATGCCTACTACACAACGGACACTCAATAATAGTTGCTGAATTAATGAATACATGTTGTGTTATGCTAGTTTCCAAGTGTTTTGCATTTGTAGCTCTTAGTTGTGAAATTTTGGTTCAGGAGGGATCTTAGAGATAATCTAGTTCATTATTTCCTAACATTTTCAATTAGAGAACCTCTTTCACAGCTATATATACTCTCTCAAGCTCTCTTAAGAATCTTTTAATACATGTTGTCATTTTTGCCTAGCATATTATGAAGAAGTAATTTTAAATTTAAAATATTTGTTATTAAAAACAATTTTGGCCAGGCACAGTGGCTCATGCCTATTGGGAGGTCAAGGCAGGAGGATCACTTGAGGCCAGGAGTTCAAGATCAGTCTGAGCAACATAGCGAGACCCTGTCTCTACAAAAAAAAGTAGAAAAATTAGCCAGGCATGGTGGTGTGTCCCTGTAGTCCTAGTTACTCAGGAAGCTGATGCAGGAAGATTGCTTGAATCAAGGAGTTTGGAGTTGCAGTGGACTATGACACCACTGCACTCTAGCCTGGGCAACAGAGCCAAGACCCTGTCTCAAAAAAAAAAAAAAAAAATTAAAAACATTTTTAAAATTAAAAAAATTTTTCCTTAAGATTATATTATAAAGTTAATTTTAATGCATTTTAATCTAAATGACAGTTTTAAAAACCTTTTTCCCATTTAACAAGCAATGTGCATTATTTACATTATTTTTTTTTTTTTTTTTGAGACAGAGTCTCACTTTGTTGTCCAGGCTAGAGTGAGTGCCGTGGCGTCAGCCTAGCTCACAGCAACCTCAAACTCCTGGGCTCAAGCGATCCTCCTGCCTCAGCCTCCCGAGTAGCTGGGACTACAGGCATGCGCCACCATGCCCGGCTAATTTTTTATATACATCAGTTGCCAATTAATTCTTTCTATTTTATAGTAAGAGAACGGGGTCTCGCTCTTGCTCAGGCTGGTTTTGAACTCCTGACCTTGAGCAATCCGCCCGCCTCGGCCTCCCAAGAGCTAGGATTACAGGCGTGAGCCACAGCGCCTGGCCTACATTATTTTTAATTCTATAAAGAAACATTGATTGATTGATTGAGACAGAGTGTCAATCGCTTTGTTGCCCAGGCTAGAATGTTGTGGCCTCAGCCTAGCTCACATCAACCTCAGACTCCTGGGCTCAAGCAGTCCTCCTGCCTCAGCCCCCCAAGTAGCTGGGATCACGGATACATGCCACCACGCCCAGCTAATTTTTTCTATTTTTAGTAGAGACAGGGTCTTACTCTTGCTCAGGCTGGTCTCAAACTCCTGATCTCAAGTGATCCTCCCATCTTGGCCTAAGAAACATGATTTTTAAAAATAAATTCAAAAATGATATGTTTAGGATACCCAATTTATATTTTAGCCATATGTCATAGTATCAAATATAGATAAAACCTGCTTTATAATCTTATGTAATTGGAATTCTTATGTTTTGACCATAAAAAAGTCAACCTTTTTTGTTTCTATCATTTTTTTTTTTTTTTGAGACAGAGTCTCACTTTGTTGCCCAGGCTAGAGTGAGTGCGTGGGCGTCCACCTAGCTCACAGCAACCTCAAACTCCAGGGCTCAGCGATCCTACTGCCTCAGCCTCCCGAGTAGCTGGGACTACAGGCATGCGCCACCATGCCCGGCTAATTTTTTGTATATATATATTTTTAGTTGGTCAATTAATTTATTTCTATTTTTGGTAGAGACGGGGTCTCGCTCAGGCTGGTTTCGTACTCCTGACCTTGAGCAACGCCGCCTCGGCCTCCCAAAGTGCTAGGATTACACGCGTGAGCCACCACGCCCGGCCTCATATTTTATTTTAAAATAATGTAATTATAGAAAAGGTCTTAGCCTGCTATTTGCAAATACTTCATAAACGTTGCAGTTGTGCGGAGTCTTAGGTCCCAATAAGTTAATAAAGTGTGAATATAATTAACTATACTTTCTCTAAAATGTTGATTTTTACAGGACTAGGCATATTTTGATGTTCTGTATAAAAATTCTGATCTGAGGAATACAATTTATAGCCAAGCAGCTATACTGAGACAAATTTGCAGAATTATTACTAATTTTGTGTTGTGTTTCAACATTCATGTCCTTTATACATTTTCTTTAATTTGGACAAAATAATGTAGCTGGTTAATGTTTAATATTACATATAATATTAAATCACATATAATATGATTCCTGATTATTTAATGTTATTACATGTTATTTAATGATTATTTAATTATTAACCTTTTTGTCCCCAGCCCTTACCCTACAACATAGACACACTTAATTTAAACCTCAATATACAGTAGACTGTCAGTAAATAAATAAATCAGTGGATGATAGTTACTACTTTTTTACTGTAGCAACCCTCTTTGTATTTTCTTTCTTTATTATCTAGGAGAATGTGGATTATCTGATCCAGGAGCTCCGAAGACCCAAATACAGTATATATTTTATTTGTAAGTATATTAGTTCACTTTTTCAATGATGTAACTACATCCTAGCTAGTATGTTTCATCAAGCAGTCTCATGTCATTAATAGTTTATTGAATCTATCACTATAAAAATCTGGCTTCTTTAATCTCCTTTCAGAGTATTGAAAGTCTTGTGACCAGCATTCCATTTCAGAGAGCTAAAAGTGATTTCCATTCATCATTGATTGCTTAGATAAAAAATTTTATGTTTTACTTTGCCTTTCAAGATCCTTTGTGAGTCAAAAGTTGTAAGTAGCCAAAGTTCACATCTCACCTCTACCAAAAAAAGTGTAGACTTATTCCTATTTTGCACTTATGAATTGAGGCATAGAAGCTGATTTATTTATTTTGGGGGAAGATATACTTGAGTTTGTTGGAAAAGCAGAGATTTATTTTACATACCAGATGAAAACATTCCACTTCTTTTTGCTACTGTATGTAATGCATGAAAGTAGAAATCATCAGGTAGGTATCTCTTATGTGCACAACTTTTTTTGGGCAGGGAGTGGATAGGGGAGGTCTAGAAATAAACTAAGTTTGTGATTACTGTACAATTTAGGTGGATTTTTTTGATCCAGTACATTCTGCTGTGGAAGTTACATCTGTTCTCCTCTAGATGTCGTTATTGATCTTCATAGGACTGTAGTCTATTTGGTAACTTTTCCAAAACCAAGGACCAAACTTAATGCTGGGTAATTAGGGCATTTGAGAAGTTTTAAAGCTAACTTAAAGGTTTTAGAGTTTTAGACTGTAGTCTAAGACATGTATACTTTCTTCAGCATACACTATTTAATAATGGTACCAAAAATTAACATGTAGAATAAGACTTGATATTTTATAAAGAGCTCTTTCATTTTATTTCATTCAGTTCTGTGTAGAATTGAAAAGTTAAATAAAGTTTGCCCGTGAGTTTTCAGTATACCACACCCCAAGAGGTAAAAGTAGGCAATTTTATTAGTCTTTAGCATCCTAGGGATGTTTTTTGTTTGTTGGATGGGTTTTGGCTGATATCTACAGAGGTTTTTTTAATTAAACTTTCTATTTTGAAATAATTGTAGAGTCACATGCAGTTGTAAAAAAATAATAGATCCTGGAGACCATTTACCTAGTTTCCCTCAATGTAGCATCTTAAATGAAAATAATATAATATCACAACCAGGGTATTAACATTGATACACAGGATGCAGACCATTTTCATCTCCACAAGGATCCTTTATATTAACCTTTTATTAGCCACATCCTCAACTCTCCCACCCCAATCCCCTCATTAATCCTGGAAACCAATAATCTGTTCTCTATTCTATAATTTTGTCATTTCAAGAATGTTTATAAATGGAATCACACAGTATATAACCTTTTGGGATTGGCTATTTTCATTCAGCATAATTCTCTGGAGACCCGTCCAGGTTACTGCATATATCAGTAGTTCATTTGTTTTTATTGCTAAGTAGTATTCTGTTATATGGATGTACCACAGTTTGTTCATCTGTTCACCATTGAAGGACATCTGATTTGTTTCCAGTTTTGATTACTACAAATCAAGCTACTATAAACATCTATAAAACATTTTTTTTGTTTTGTTTCGTTTTGTTTTTTGAGACAGAGTCTCACTTTGTTGCCCAGGCTAGAGTGCTGTGGCGTCATCCTAGCTCACAGCAACCTCAAACTCCTGGGCTCAAGCAATCCTCCTGCCTCAGCCTCCCAAGTAGCTGGGACTACAGGCATGCGCCACCATGCCCAGCTACTTTTTTCTATATATTTTTAGCTGTCCAATTAACTTCTATTTTTTTAGTAGAGACGGGGTTTCGCTCTTGCTCAGGCTGGTTTTGAACCCCTGAGCTCAAATGATCCACCCGCCTCAGCCTCCCAGACTGCTAGGATTACAGGCGTGAGCCACCGCACCCAGCCTGTGTACGGGTTTTTGTGTGAACACAAGTTTTCATTTCTCTGGAATAAATAATTCCCAGGAGTACAACTGCTGGGTCATATGGTAGTTGCATGTTTTGTGTTTTAAGAAACTACCAAATGTTTTCCACAGTGACTATACCATTTTACATTTTCACTAGTAATGCATGGGTGATCTGGTTTCTTTGCATCCTCACAAACACTTGGTGTTGTCTGTATTTTTTATTTTTGCCATTGAATAGGTGTGTGGTCATTTTAGTATTTTTTAGTCTGACCAAAGCTAGATCCTTAGGAAGGTGTAAAGACTTTTGTACTCAGTTACGTGTGTGTGTATGTGTGTATTTTTTCCCCCTGTGCTGCCAAATTTAATTAGACATATAATAGAATCACTCTTGCTGCGTATCTTGGCTAAAAATTGAAGAGATTTAGATTAATAAAGGATAAATAATCCAGTGTTTACTCTTATGAGTCTAAAGATTGATTTGGACTGTAAATCTATGTAGCAGAAGGAAAAAAATATAAAGTAGTTAGCGCCAAAGTCTATGAAAAATAGACTGTTGAAATTTCTTGGGTAGAGCAATTTCCAAATTTTATTTGATTGAAGCAAACCAAAATAAATTTGTATATAGTAATTTTATTCATTACAAACTTTCAGCATAATTATATCAGCACTAAACTGGCCTATTGTTTCATCTCATTTTTTATAATTTTCTTTTCATATACTTTTATGTCTACTAAATCTTGTATGTATAGCAGGCCCTTCCCTTTATTAAAATGCTTTTCATTATAGAAATTTTCAAATATATACAAAAGTGGAACAGTATAATAAATTCCAGTGTATCTGTCACCTGTTTTCAACATTTTTTTTTTTTTTTTTGAGATAAGGTCTTGCTCTGTCAATCATAGCTCACTGCAGCCTTGAATTCCTGGACTCGAGTGATCCTCCAGTTTCAACCTCTAGAGTAGCTGAGACTACAGGCACACACCACCATGCCCAGCTAATTTTTTTATTTTTTGTAGAGAACAGGATCTTGCTATGTTGCCCAAGCTGGTGTGAATTCCTGGGCTCAAGTGATCCTCTTGCTTCTGCCTCCCAAAGTGCTGGGATTACAGGCATGAGCCACTGCACCTGGCCCAGTTTCAACAATTATTGAGACGTGCCCATTCTTCTTTTAGCCCTACTGCCACCTACTCCCCCACCAATATTATTTTGAAGCAAATCTAAGACATCATATAGTTTTATCCATAAATATTTCAGTGTGCATCTCTAAAAGATGACTCATTTTTTAAAAACCACAGTTCCATTATTATATCCAAATAAAAATGAAAAATAATTCCTTACATTTTCAAATATTCAGTGTTCAAATTTCAAATTCTCTCATGTCTTTTTTTTTTAGTTTGTTTGAATCAGTATCAAAGTAGGTCCACACATTGCTATTAGTTGAGATGTTAAGTTTCTTTAGTCTTCTGTAGGTCTCCTCCCCATCTCTGCCCCATCTCTCTCTCTCTCTTTCTCTGAAATTTGTTTATTGAAGAAACTATTAAGTTTTCCACAGCCTGGATTTTGCTGATTGCATCCCCATGGCGTAGTTTAGCATGTTCCTTAGGTTTAAAATGTTACTCTATCCTCTAGTTCCTATAAATTTATAGGTGGACATAGAGCCTTAATTAGATGAAGATTCTATTTTTTTTTTTTTTTGGCAAGAATACTTTATAGGTGATGTATGCTTTCATAGGTTGTCTCTTCTTGTGGTGTTAGCAGCTGCTGATGTTCAATGCCTAGGTCCATCCATTGATTCATTAGAGGTTGGAAAAAAGGCTGCTATTATAATTCTATCATTAATATTCCTTCTTTGTTTTTTTTTTTTTTGTTTTTTTGAGACAGAGTCTCACTTTGTTGTCCAGGCTAGAGTGAGTGCCGTGGCGTCAGCCTAGCTCACAGCAACCTCAAACTCCAGGGCTCAGCGATCCTACTGCCTCAGCCTCCCGAGTAGCTGGGACTACAGGCATGCGCCACCATGCCCGGCTAATTTTTTGTATATATATATTTTTAGTTGGTCAATTAATTTATTTCTATTTTTGGTAGAGACGGGGTCTCGCTCAGGCTGGTTTTGAACTCCTGACCTTGAGCAATCCGCCCGCCTCGGCCTCCCAAGAGCTAGGATTACAGGCGTGAGCCACAGCGCCCGGCCTTCCTTCTTTGTTTTTTAACTGGAATATTTCTATAAGGAAAAATTTCCCCTCATCTACTATTTGGTTACCTGGTGGTACAGTTTATATATAAAAGACAAGATAAAAGCTTACTTCTTTCTCTTTATTTGCTATTTTCAATATAATTAATTGGGTCCCTAGCATCCTTCAATCCCTCCAATGGTGGTTCTTTTATTTATTATTATTATTGTTATTATTATAAACTTGACGTATTTGTACTACTTATTCCAATTTGAAGGTATTTGACTTTGACAAAGTTTGGTATCACAATGTGTACCAAACTTCACTTACTCATTAGACTTTAACTATCAGGCCCATTTACGTCTAATTGTAGCAGAGATGATCTCCTTTGAGTCAACTGCAACTCATATGTCTGTTTCAGATTTCAGTAATGTGATCAGCAAGAGTGACGTGAAGTCATTGGCTGAAGCTGATGAGCAGGAAGTTGTGGCTGAGGTTCAGGTAAACATTGGTCCTATAACACATCTCTTATATTGGCCCTTTCAAAAGATTTGAATCTAAAAATGGTTCTTTCTCAAAAGAAGAGAGGCTATTGATCAGGCAAAATAAACACGCATTGTGTCAGACTATACTTCCATTTAGAAAATTTGGGAGAGGTATTAATATCAAGTTGGATAGGAACAGAATTAAAGGAATAAGTGGGAATAAGGAGATTGGGCTGATAAATTGACAGGATAGGTTACACAGGGTTGGGGACAGAGTCAGATACACACATACATAAAACTTTTATAGATCTGTTATTGCTACTGTTTTACAATTATTTTAATTCTTCCACATTGACTGTTGTTACTCAGTTACTAATTAAGCAATTTTTACATCTCTTTACACCTGTATTTCACTGTTTGGTTATATCATATAGTATTATATCACATATGAAAGTGTTACTGCTTGATCCAATTGATGTTCATGGAATAACTGTTCTTGGTGCTTTATTTGCAGGAATTTTATGGTGATTACATTGCTGTGAATCCACATTTGTTTTCACTCAATATTTTGGGTTGCTGCCAGGTATGGAAGGGAAAGAAAAAAAATAAGTTGATTTATCAGTTGAGAGTTAATTTACCAAGTAATTAGACTAGTAAGATAAAATGCAAATATTTTCTCTGAGTATATGTTTTTAACAAAAGGGTCGAAATTGGGATCCAGCCCAGCTATCTAGAACAACTCAAGGACTCACAGCTCTCCTTTTATCTCTGAAGAAGTGTCCCATGATTCGTTATCAGCTTTCATCAGAGTCAGCAAAGAGACTTGCAGAATGTGTTAAGGTATGGCATTCTCTGTCCCTGGTTCCAAAACATCAAGGCCATTTATTTCCATATTTCAGAAACTAAAGTAACAGCCAACGAGTTGATAATATGTTAGGTTTACTGAAAAAGAGGTAGGTATATGTAATTTAAAACAAAAGTAACAAATTAGAGCTAAGATTCCCAGGTTTAACATAAGAAATATTCACAAGCTATTTAACAGTTTTTGGTCCTCTTAAACCACTTGTTGAATAGAGTTTCAAATCCTAACCTCTTAAACAGTATGTTACTAAATTTTGTGAAGCTTTTGAATCCTTTTATGGGAGGCCTATGCAGAAAGAGCTATTGTTAAATGTGGTTTCTATTTATTAGTTTTCTATGTATATCACCTCTATCTGCAACTAACTGGTTAACCAAACCATCTTTCTCTGTCACCCACAGCAAGTGATAACTAAAGAATATGAACTGTTTGAATTCCGGCGTACAGAGGTTCCTCCATTGCTACTTATTTTAGATCGCTGCGATGATGCCATCACCCCATTGCTAAACCAGGTGCAGAACCCTTTGTTAGCACAAGAGAAAGATGATTTTAAGTGATATTCATCAAAATGCAGATATGGAAATAAACAGCATGGTCCATTTATTTGCCTACTTATTCTTAGCTATTCTTGGTTTTGCCTTGTGTTTCCTCTTCCATCCATAGTCATTTGCTAACTTTTTCTTCTGCCTCATCCTTCCTGTCCCTTTCTGCCACCACTCCCACCCCTAATCAAAGCAACTTCCGAGTTCTGTAGATTGTAATTTCCAGTGTTTCCTTCTGTCTGATCTTTTCCATTCTTACTACCATTGCCTTGATGTAGACCCTAATCTCTTGCAGGAAAACTAAAATAGTCATCTACTTGATTCCTTACTTTTAATTTCTTCTCACTCAAATATATTCCACAGACACAATGCTATTAAATCACTTTTTCTGAAGCATAGGTCTGATCATATTACTTATGGCTTAAAAATCTTCATTGGCTCCCATTTGCCTGCTAGGTTAAAAACAAACTCTTGAACTTGGCATCCAAGAGCCTTCATAATGTGGGCCAAACCTCATATAAAACCTACAGTTCACTGCTATATGAATATGCCACATAATTTCCCGCCATCATGCTTTTATTGTGATCATGGTCTAAACTCTGGAATTTTTGAAATACCTTCTCTTCCTATCTTTACCTATCAAAACACTTCTCCTTTTTTTTTTTTTTGACTCTGTCTCACTTTGTTGCCCAGGCTACAGTGAGTGCCGTGGCGTCAGCCTAGATCACAGCAACCTCAAACTCCTGGGCTCAAGCAATCCTCTTGCCTCAGCCTCCCGACTAGCTGGGACTACAGGCATGCACCACCATGCCCGGCTAATTTTTTGTATATATATTTTTTTAGTTGGCCAATTAATTTCTTTCTATTTTTAATAGAGACGGGGTCTTGCTCAGGCTGGTTTCGAACTCCTGACCTCGAGCAATCCTCCCATCTCTGCCTCCCAGAGTACTAGGATTACAGGCGTGAGCCACCACGCCCGACCCTATACTTCTCCTTTAAAACCACTCAAAGCCATCTAACATCTCCTTGAAGCCTGTATTCTTTCAGTCAGACATGTTCTTTTCTCCTGAAAATCAGTGTTAGACCTTTATGTCTCTCTTATTTCTCATGCTGTACTTGCCATGTTGTACCTTTGGTTCTTTTCACCCTCTCCTAAATTATACATTCCTTAAAGGCAGACTGTGTCTACCCAGTGTTTGTTCTCCTGCAAGTGCCTTGCATATAGTAGGTGTTCTATTAATAGTGACTTTGAATGTATAGGGAAAGTCACATTCTACATACCAGTTTCTTCCTAACTTAATGCTAAGGCTGTGTAATGAAAGTTTACTACAGTATAAGATACCCCTGTACTCCTAAAATTCAAAGTAATATATGTTCACTAAAGAAACTTTTGATAATATCAAAAAGTAGAAAGAAAAATAATTGCCTATAACTCTGTTTCTCAAAGAAAAGCAACAATTCACCCAACAAATTTCACTGAGGATCTGTTATGTGCCACACACTGAACTAAGTACTGGAGATAAAAGTTTAAAAGATACAATCTCTGCCCTCAATCAGCTCATGGTCCAATGATGAGAGAAATAAACAGATAATTTTAATTACAGAGTAAGTGCTATGGAAGATGTCCATAGAAGTGTAAAACATTTTGTTATACTGATTTTAAGTGCCCTAATGGAACTCGCTTTTTCAAGAATTCTTTTGGGGAATCTTGTAGGAAATAAAGCATCTTTTTTTAAAGGCTTAAAGTATTTCCTAATAAATCTAATTTGCTTAAGATAAAATATTATGTATATAAATATTTTTAGCATTTAGATTCTATATTTAGAAGATAATCTGCCAAAAAATACTTAGTTTTATCTAATGGGCCTATTACTTAAAGTAACCCATTCTCCATAAATGGTGAAAAGGCAAAATTTTGGGATTTCTCCTTTTCAGTTTTACCACATAACTCTATGACTGGAAACCAATCCTTCACAATTCATATTAGATAAAAATATGTAATAAAATGGATTCAGAGACAAGTTTCTGAATATGCCAGTGTTTTGATCAACTCATAAGATTTCTTCTGATAATATTAGTGTTCCCAGGATAAATATAGTACCACTCAGATCTGCAAGAACACACTTCTCATGCTGCAGAAAACCACAGAAGCGTACAGGAAATAGTACAGCTTGTAACTGCAGTACCAATATAGCAGCTCTATCTGTGAATCCAAAAATATACTCTTAATTCACAGGCAAAAATTAGAGCTAATGATAGATCTAATTTGTTTTCTTTCTATCAGGAATATATTAATCTTTTTATTCTTCCTCCAAAAGTGTGAAATCTAAAAGTATTTTGACTTTTCAGTGCTTAACCAATTAAAATGACAATCTTAATGCTTATTGTAGCACAAAGTATTAATAAAATTTGAACTAAATAGAGAATCTCCAAGAAGACTAGTTACTAAGAATGTTATCAATTTTTATTTATTTTCCTGAATGTTTACTATTTTCATGTTTTGTCAGTTATCAGGTTTTTTTTTTTTTTTGTCATAACTCTTTATTTAGTGGACATACCAGGCCATGGTCCATGAACTACTGGGCATAAACAACAATCGGATCGATCTTTCCAGAGTGCCAGGGATCAGTAAAGACTTAAGAGAGGTGGTCCTATCTGCTGAAAATGATGAATTCTATGCTAATGTAAGTGGTTTTTAAATTTTTTTTTTAATTGCTTTTGGCTGTTTTTAATGTAAGAAGATCAATATTAGCTTGTTAGAATTGGAGCAGGTGTGGGATTTCATATGAAAGGATGACAGAGATGTCCTATAGATAGGCTGCATCTCAAGGAAAGGGAGAAGATTTGGATTCTGGCCCTTTAGCAATATCTTTTTTCATGGAGACCCCATAGTTATTTACTTCCCTCCTTTATAATAGCTCTTTGTGAGAATAGTAATGGTATTCATCACCAGTATCCTGGCTGATGTCCAAATTTGGTAATTAAAATGGAATTTTCCTGCCCTTCAGTTCTGTGTTCAGGATTCTTTTTGACTTCTTTTAAATTGTCTGAAAGTCAGACTAGATGATAAACTGTGCTTCCATCTTCCTTTTTTGCAGAATATGTATCTGAACTTTGCTGAGATTGGTAGCAATATAAAGAATCTCATGGAAGACTTTCAGAAGAGGAAACCAAAAGAACAGCAAAAGCTAGAATCAATAGCAGACATGAAGGTAAATCAAGCATGTACATGGATGGCTAACATGTGAGACTTTGAAACCATTCATGTAAGCAACTTTTCAGGAATCTTCTGGGTCTGATTTCTACCTTGATTCCTTTTGTTTGGCTTGAGACATTTTCTATAATGTCTCTTTTTAGTAAACAGTATAGTGAAAACTTCTTAATAAGTCATGTGCTTCTTTCCATTCTTCAGTCATATTTGAACTATTTAAAGACTCAGTCTACAAATATATACCAGTTCTTCTCTACTTACACATAACAAAATACCATGTGACTGAGAGTTCTGTGTGGATCTGAAAAGTACTTTAGTCTGAGCCGAAAAACAGTCCCTCTAGTTTTTTTTTTTTTTTCCTTCTTCATACATGCCTATCCTTGGTCAAAAAATAACAAAACCTCCCATTGATGTTTTTCCCATGGCAGGCCTTTGTTGAGAATTATCCACAGTTTAAGAAGATGTCTGGGACTGTATCAAAGCACGTAACAGTGGTTGGAGAACTGTCTCGATTGGTCAGTGAACGGAATCTGCTGGAGGTTTCAGAGGTTGAGCAAGAACTGGCCTGTCAAAATGACCATTCTAGTGCTCTCCAGGTCAGTCCAATTTGATGAGCACCTACTATGTGTAAGGCACTGTGCCAGGCAGAGCAAGAGATACAAAGGCAAGTAATCCTTCTTCACCAACATGGAATATAGTCTAACAAGGAGTTGAGACAAGAGCACAAATCAATATTTTTTAATATAGATATATAAGATTCAGAGGAGAAGTATAACGTGCAATCCCCAGGGGTTCAGTTAATTAAGTATTTATGACAAGAGCCTAATCTACTAGAAAGAGCACTAGACTAGAATCAGAAGATCTGGATTTTAGTGTTTGGTTTATTATTTACTGGCTTTCTGACCTGAAGGTGATGACTTAATCTTTGAGCCAGTTTCCTCAATTATAAAATAGGTATAATAACATTTATCTCACAGGGTTGTTAGGAAGCCTGTAAAAGATATAATGTATATTAAAATGCATTGTCTACTTTTATTATTGAAGATCTGCTCTTTATCCCACAAACATTTGAATGCCTGCTATATGTACATACTCCTATGATGATCTAGGAGTACAAAGATGACTAAGATACAATCTCATTCCTCAAAGAGCTCACACGATAGTAGAGGAGAAAGAAGTTTAAGCCAGGAATTATAATCCCATGCAATAAGTGCCATAATAGGAGTATTTACAATGGAATATGGAAATATAGGGGAAGGAAAACAGTTATCCGAAGGCTTCTTAGGGCTTCTTAGAGAAAATGACATTAGAACTGAGTTTGGACAGATAAATAGTAGGAATGCATCAAGCAGAGAAAAGGGAGAAACATTCTCTCAGAGAGAATGCAAGGATGGATATACAGAAAATATATATATATATTTTTTAATATATATATTTAATATATATATAAAGTTGGGCTTTAATCTTGATGAGAGCTACCAGAGAATTTTAGAAGAAAAGTGACGTAATCATACCGTGGTCTCAAGAAATTTATAGTCTAGTTGAAGAGACAAAACTAAACCACAAGAAAAAATTAGATAATGTTTCAAGATGATATTTAGTTAAGTCAAAATCCTAATAGAAGAGAATTTTCTTAGAGAAGGCAAGATGAAGATGGACCATAAAGAATGAATAGAATTTGGGGGAGGATTTCAGAAGGGATAACAGCAAAAGCAAGGATGCAGAAGTATGCAGGAAATAATAAACAGTTTGACCTGTTGAGAGTGGGTGTAGAAGAAAAATAGGAAATAAAATTGAATTGGTAAAGAGGAACCAGTTTATGAAGACACTTGTAAGAGGAATTTATACTTGCTGAGATAGGCAAGGAGATCCAGTATAGGATCTTACGTAGAAAGTTGAGGTATTGACAGTAGTATTTTAGGAAATTTAATCTAGTAAGGGTTCTTTAGAGGTGAAAAAACTGAAGTCAGGAAGGCTTGTAGACTTATAGTGATAGTAGTAAAAATGTTCAGTAAGGTGCAAATCTGAGAAACATTTCAAAGGGAAAAAACATATGACAGAGTGAATATAAAGAAAGGAAGAACAAAGGTAATTTTAAAGTTCCTGTAAAATGACAAAATATGTCACTGACAACTAAGTAATTTAGGAATAAGAATCCTTTGGGAAATAGCCATTTCTAATGTATAAGAAGCACATTTCCTTATTAATAGGACCCTCTATTCTAAAACTTAGTTCTTTCTTTCCCTGCTGCAGTTCTACTTTATTTTGTAAAATAAAGTCAGCCTGGTATATTGGAAATAACGCAGGCTTTGGAGCTAGACTGTCCTGGGTTACATCCTGGCTCTACTTACCAAAGTTTCTTTGGGAAAATTACTTTGCCCAAGGCTCAGGGATAGTGATTTCAAACTTTCAGATTGTTATGAGGATTCAATGAGATATGTAAAATGCTTTGCACGTAGTAGGTGCTTTGTACTTTGTAAAGGTTGGTTCCCTTCCTCTAAGCATAATTTTTTTATACACGTAGTGCAACCAAAAGAAAGAAATGCACCTGTGTGTGCCATATTTACACTAAGTAAGGTCTTTACTAGGATTTATAGTTGTTGGTTTTTGACTTTTTAATGTTTATCAAGATTTACTCTGAAAATACCAGCATTTCGAGAATCATAAGGATACTATTTGCTTTATATTTTTGTAATGTGCTTCTGTCATCACAGTTTTAGTTTTGTCCCTGTGCTCTGAAATCTTCACAAACAACTCCTAGTTCTTTAGGCTGACTTTATTATTTTTTAATTGTATTAAATTCTCATTCTTAAATAGATAATGTAAGTATTTGGTGAAACAGATGTAAAGTAAAAACTCAGTCTGTTAATAGTTTCATATATACAGTTTCCATATATATCCTTACAGTTATTCATTGTATGTGCAAGTCTGTACAAGTCTTTTTTAATTCAAATGGCTCCATACTATACATAGTGTTCAGCATTTTGTTTCTTTAATCATGTATCTCAGAGACTGATCTAGACCAGAACCTAAAGACTCATTCTTTTTAATCACTAAATAGTACCTTTGTAAAAATGTATCATAATTTATTTAACTTGTCTAACTTACTTAAAATAACACTACTGAATAATAGTTTATAATTATTTTGTGGGCTTAATAGAAGTACTCTTATATTTATCACAATAAAATGAGTTTTCTGCCTCTTATTAAATAAAAAACATAATTTTGTCCTGTAACTAAATTTAAATTTCCTTATGTTTCTTTATCATTTGATTTTTCCCTTGAAAACAATAGAGCCAAACTTAATCACTAGCCAATTTTAGTGTCTTTATTTGTATCTCTCTACCATATGGAAAGCAGTTAGAAAAGTTATTGTAATTCCTTGCTTGACACTTTATTTTTTGTTCGCTTTAAAAGAAAAATAATTTAAAAATATGAACTCTATTTGTAATCTACTTTATATTTTTAAAATTTATGTTTTGAAGGATTTCTTGTCCAGGATATTGGGGTTTTACAGTGAGCAGTTGATTTGGACTACCCCCATTATGAAGGATTTCTTTGGCAACATGGTTTAAATAGTCTATAAAGGGAACTTTTGTTTGATAGTGAGTGGACGCCAGGGGCCTGGCATCTAGAGGGGTCATAGCATTCCATGGCTTGACCTTACATAATAATACGTCATGAAGCAATGAAATGAGGTTTTTGAGTAGAGATGGGGTTTGCTTTATTGAATAGTAAGTGTATCATGGTAAGAAAAAAAAATGCTCATTTATTGCTAAAAACTAACTTATAAGTTGCTGCCATTCTAACGTGTTATTCTAAAAGCTAACAAAAGTTTGATTTTGAAAGAACCAAAATGCAGTGTATTACTATTGAAACATATCTATATCCTCAGAATAAATTCATTTGATTAGTAATGAAGATTTTTCATACCATGAACAGAAATATCTCAAAGTGAGCAGTCACCTCTCCATGCTCTGCCTATTTTATCATATCACAGCTTTTCATTTGGAGAGAGGAATCAGTCTAAATTATATCCTTCTTTCCTGGCCTTGTGTAAAAGATCTCAAATTATTTTGTTAATGACACCTAATAAAGACTCAATAAATATTTATTAGAAAAATGAGGAGAAAGAGTTCTACTTGAAGCTATATAGAGTAGTGGCTAAGAGCTTGGGCCTTTAATGGCTTAGGTTTGAAAATGATTCTTAACCACTCTAACTCTGTCTTTTTGTGTGTAAAATGGGGAAAAATAACAGTACTTACCTGAAAGATTGTTGTGAGGGTACAATGAGCTAATATATGTAAAGCAACTCAATATGGTACCTGATACTTATAACTTTCAACAAATATTAATCATCACCATTTGAGTATTATTATTTGATGGTACATTCTGTTTTCTTTATGGCATCCAGGACATGTTTTTTAGTTCACAGATGACCTTAGATCTCTCTGATTTCAGAAAGGGTTTGTTTTTTTTTTTTGTTTTGTTTTTTGAGACAGAGTCTCACTCTGTTGCCTGGGCTAGAGTGCTGTGCATCAGCCTAGTTCACAGCAACCTCAAACTCTTGGGCTTAAGCAATCCTACCGCCTCAGCCTCCCTAGTAGCTGGGACTACAGGCATGCACCACCATGCCTGGCTAACTTTTTCTATATATTTTTAGTTGGCCAATTAATTTCTTTCTATTTTTAGTAGAGACAGGGTTTCACTCTTGCTAAGGCTGGTTTCGAACTCCTAACCTTGAGCGATATTCTTGCCTCCGGCTCCCAGAGTGCTAGGATTATAGGCATGAGCCACCTAGCCCAGAAAGGTTTTTTATGTGTTTTTATTTGTTTATTATTAAAATTATGAGAAAATTGTTTGGAACACATTGAACTGATCATTTTACTTTGATCAACTAAGTGTAAAAATGATCCTTTTTTCTCTAAACCAACATTTAGAAATAGTGTTGATCAGCAGAAGACCTACTGCAAAGCCAAATTTTATGTTAACTAGTCATTAGGAAAAGGAATATTGACTCAGATATACTTAACCAGTCAGTGGAATTAGGTTCTGCCTACTTTCTATCATGTTTCCTACATAAGCTCTTTATAGTCCATATTCCCTCAGACCCTTAGATTAGACTCATTATATCACCATGTTGAAGACTTCTACCAATTCCATTTTGCTGTTCTAATCTGTTAATTTATTTTGTTATTCACTATTTACTACCTTAATATAATAGTATATAACAAGGAAGGGAGCCTGTTCTTTAGGTTAAACTAAAGCAAAAAATGGAGACTAATTGCCAAGTTCATCTGTAATTTATATAATCATTTCAAATGTACATATATCATAATAAAATTTGTTCTTGCTATGCTGCTTCATCATAGTTTTGATAGAAGGAAACAGAAAAGTAGTCAGCCAGAAACAATGAAAAAATCTGTAAATATCAGGAAAAAAGAATGGTTTTCCCATTGATAACTTGCAAATGAATGTTAGTTCTTTTTGGAAACTTGACCTCCAAAGACAGTGCTTTTGCTTTTCCTATTCCTTGATTAGGCTTAAACAAATGTTAGAGTTCCATGCAAGGTTTTTGAATCCTTTCTTTTTAAGT